AAGATAACCATTGATCATCGTGTTTACCAATTCGCATTGAATATTTTTGAATGGGTGCTAAATGATCAGGAACAGTTGTTATATTTGATCTTATTTGTTCAGCATAATCATCCACATTGTTTTCAGGTGATAAGCTACATGGCATCACTTGCAATTCTTTTATAAAGCATGACAAGTTTAGTTTTCTAAAGTTTCGTTTTGAAAACCAAACAGTTTTAGTATTTGAAGGTTGATGATAAAGTTCTACCCGAATCATATAGTGATCTGAAATACCCTCGTCAGTTACTTGGATACTCTTGAGTGAAATATCATCATGTCGATTTATTACAAGATCAAGCAAGTTGGCTATACCAGTAGTAGATGATATGCGAGTTGGAGATTGAACTCGTTGTATCATGTTGTAGGTCTCTAAAATCTCATTAAGTTTTGAATTGCAGGTTATTGGAGTAGTACCTGGACAGTTAAAGTCACCACACAGAAGTATTTCTCCAGATAATGTTTGAAGTTCCTCTAGGAGTTCAGATAATTCGAAAAAGAAAATGTTTGTTGGAATGATTGGATTTGATCGATAAATAGCAACAATATTGTAGATAGTATTTGCCAGGTTTAGTTTAGCTGATGTACGTTCATAAGACAGACAGGTAGATGATAATGAGAGTGGCTTGATATTCAAGTTGTCTCTTAACTATCGCAAACGCCTCCTCCACGATGGTCTGATCGGCAGTATTGAATTGTTTTAAAGCCTGGTGGGGCTATATCTTCTTTAATTGCGGTAGGGTCGTCTGACTTTATCCAAGTTTCAGTGAGTATAAAAATATCTAGAGAATGATTTTGCACTATATCATGAATGATAGCAGATTTTTTTATAGCAGATTGAACATTTTGGATACCCAAGTTTAATGCAGAGGTTCTTTTAATTTTTATATGTAAATTATGTTGATTTAATTTCGATCCATTTGAGTTCACCTGATCGTATACCCCAATAGTATTTTTTTCCATTGTGCATATTGTATCGTTGCCTCCCATTTGTTCCCTAAACCACTTGAGTAAGTGCTGCATTTCTAGTGTTTCTAACTTTTCTGAATTCACTTTCGAACAATCTCTCATTTGTTGTTTTGTCTTTATTAATAAAAATATTTTTGAAGTTAGTACTGCCCTTTAACATTTTGGAATTTTTAATTATAAAATTTTGGGTTTCTTTGTTCTCCAATTCAACTAAGATAAAGGTCAGGTGGTCCTGCTGGTCTTTTAGCTTTATTAGTTAATCGAATTATTCTTTTTGCATTTGTTATTGAAAAATCTGGTTTAATTGCTTTTAGTATTGTTTCAATGGTTTGTTTATCATTTTCTTCATTAACTTGTTTGTCTAAAGTAGTATGATCAGCAACTCCACTTATAACGATGTTGTTTTCAATTCTTTTTTTGTTATTAAACTCGTTTGTAATTTTTGCCATCATTACCATTTCAGTTTCTTTTGGTTTTAATTGATTTTTCTGAATTGATGTTGCTTGTGCATATGTGAATATTGTTGTTGGTTTATTTGTTGTTGCTGTTAAGTTATTTATATTAACAATATATGATATTTTGCTGTTGGTTTATTTGTTGTTGCTGTTAAGTTATTTATATTAACAATATATGATATTTTGCCACACCATTTATGCATTTTTTTGGTAACTTCAGCAGATGCATTTGGAATTATTGGCCGATTTGATTCTTCTAAGCATTCATAGTCCTGATATTTTCTGAAAGAGGGCTACCACCCTGAATAACAGTGGATTACCTCTTGAGTATATATATTTACCTTATTACACAGGGACTTATTGACACAAATACTAAAAAGAAGTTTAGATGTGTTTTTTTCCGTATATATTTTCCATATATATATATATATATATATATATATATATATATATATATATATATATATATATATATATATATATATATATATATATATATATATATATATATATATATATATATATATATACATATATATATATATATATGTATATATATATGTATATATATATATATATATATATATATATGTATATATATATATGCATATATATATATATATATATATATGTATACATATATATATATATATATATATATATATATATATATATATATATATATATATATATATATATATATATATATATATATATATGCATATATATATATATGTATACATATATATATATATATATATATATATATATATATATATATATATATATATATATATATATATATATATATATATATATATATGCATATATTTGCGCGTGAAATGCAATTAAAACAGAATTAATTTCTGTATGACAGACAAGGAACCAATATGAGGAGAGAAATAGACCATAAAGTGGTCTTTCAAGGTCAGCTGTGAGACTGGGGATCATCGATAGATTACGCAACGCTAAATTTATTTAATTTATTTAAATCTCAAGTATTACCAATTTAATATAGGTTTGCCTTTTTTGAATAAATTTTCATTGTTTTGCGTTTATCAAGTAGTGTTGTACAATAGAAACTAAATCAGCTTGTATCAGACCATATTAGCAAACATTGAAATATTGAATTAGATGAATCAACAGCGTTTCAGTTTTTACTTGATAAAGCTGACTTTCGTTATTACTTTTATTTCTGTCAATCAATATCAATTTTAGTACTTTAAATTTGAATGCACAATTTCTTAATGATACTTTATTCTCGATGGTGTTTCAAAGCATACTTAATTCTAAATCGAAAAAAATAGAAGTAAAAAAAATAAATAGATTTAGAATAAGAATCTAGATTTTGAATAAGAAACCTAGTACCTAGACTGTATTTTAAAAATGGTCTTCAGCTCTTTTACGCGGCAACTTTCATTAAACTTAATTTGCTATTTTGATTTTTCTATTAACTTAAGGCTCTGCGAGTGCAAACTTTTGATCTTTTTTGTTTTAATTATTAGTAAAATTCAGCTTTGCGTTATTTATAGACGATTTATAGACCCTATCCATGATGGCACACTTTTGAAAATCAAATTTTTTTATCAGTAAAGTCCGATATATCATTAGACATCAATTCTTCATGGTAGAGTCATCTATCGCTGCTCAGACTTGTCTTTAAACAGAGATAAACTGCTGTTAAATGGCTTCTTTTTTATTAGAGTAAAAAAAATGGCGTCTATTTGGCATCTTTTCAGTCAAATGTTTATTTAAACATAAACGTAATAACCTGCTGAATAGAGACTTAGGGAAAGTATGTGTATTATTGATCACTTTATTTAAACAAAATGTATTATTAAAATATCTTAATGTAAAAACAGATTAATACAGATAATACGTCCGTAAGACGTCTTTAAAACGTCTGACGATGAAGAGTAGAGCTATCAGAACATGTAAAAAATATTTTTGTTTGATGATCTCAAACAACAATAATTTTTTTTGTTGAGAGTAACAGGATTTTTTAATGGATCAATTTAAAAAAAATACAATTAACATAACATATAATTGAATTTGAAAAAAAAATAAAACATAATTAACTAATTTAATATTACTAAGTTTTTAATAATAAGCTGGTTTTTAAGACTATAAAATACAGTCTAGGTACTAGGTTTCTTATTCAAAATCTAGATTCTTATTCTAAATCTATTTATTTTTTTTACTTCTATTTTTTTCGATTTAGAGTTAAGTATGCTTTGAAACACCATCGAGAATAAAGTATCATTAAGAAATTGTGCATTCAAATTTAAAGTACTAAAATTGATATTGATTGACAGAAATAAAAGTAATAACGAAAGTCAGCTTTATCAAGTAAAAACTGAAACGCTGTTGATTCATCTAATTCAATATTTCAATGTTTGCTAATATGGTCTGATACAAGCTGATTTAGTTTCTATTGTACAACACTACTTGATAAACGCAAAACAATGAAAATTTATTCAAAAAAGGCAAACCTATATTACATTGGTAGTAATTTAAAGATGGAAGCATGATGTAGCATTACGCAAAATAAGTAACATTGCATCAAACAGAGGATTATCTTGAACTTTAAATATAATTGACATTTACTTTGAGAATTACATCAAACAATGCAATGAAAATTGATTTCTTAAAAACCTCACATATTTGGAACTGCATTGAGTGTGGTTATAGCAGAAGAAAAACAAATTTATGCCAAAATAGTTCAAAGCAACATCTCAAACATACTGGAAACATTAAAAAAATTGACTTTATTGTAAACAGCTGCGTAAATGCACCAGGCTTCTACTTCTATACAATATCTACTTGCAAACGATATAATATTTTGGATATATAGAGAAAATGAAGTTTATAAAATGGTTATGATGGCCCAGCAGTTAAAGGTATTGCCAGAAAAAAATTTGAAACTGGAATATATTGTTTTTAATACGTGTTAAATTTAAATTATTAGTTATCAGAATACAAAAATATTGATAAAGCTAGTTTTCCAAGTTTATTAAATGTTTTATATGACAAGCGCTTCACCAGAACACACGTAGTCCCACATTTATTAAAAACCGTATAGAATCGGCTATGAAACCATTTATGCATCAAATTAACACTTCTGATAAAAATGTTCACAAATCTAAAAGAAACGATTTTATAATTGGAAAAGCTTTCACTGAAGTTAAAACAATGGAGAAAATGAATTCGAGCAATTAAGGAAAAATGTAATAATAATAAAAAAACAAAACAACTACAAACCTAAAAATAGGCTACGCAGACAATTCAAACATACAGCAAAACAAACATAGCAGCAAAAAGTACGTCTAAAAAATCCAAAAAAAGGAAAAAAAAAAATTTTTTTACTTAAATACTTCAAACTGAAAAAAGTAATGTGTTTTTGTTGTTTTTTATTCCATTTTAAGCAACATTTCGATTAAAAAAAATGATAATAAAAATACAAAAATAGATAAATAATAGAACGTAGGGACTCAAAGAAGATTGTTAGGTCTTGTCGTCGAGAACAGATAAACATAAACGTAGTATAATTTTTTTCTTTTTCTTTACATTAAAATCCGTCGTAAATATATTGATCTGTCATATATACTAAGTACACATATAACTCTTGATAATTACATAAATACTTTAAAAACTCTTCGATTTGTAGAAGATAAAAAAGGGAATTAAAAAAAAGGTTATTTAAAGTATATTAATAAATCATCAATTGTAAAACCTAATTCTTTAAGCTTTCGTTTGAATGAATGGTAGTTGCAGAATTAAAACCTGAGGAAAAATGTTCGAAACTATTTTGTTCCATAAAAATAGTCCGCGAAAAGCAATGCAATTTCACAATGATTTGTTTGATAAAGATTATTTAATGAAAACTCTTTAGAATTCCTAAAAATTTTAAACATTTTTTTTTTTCAATAACTATTATCAAATAATTGTCATTGATGATAATATGTTATTATCATTTGCAATTTGTTCATTGAAATCATTTGTGTAATTATTTGTACTTGTTTCAAGCTCATGAACATACATTTCATGTTTTTGAACATTTGTTCTCGATTTTTCAATATTGTTTTTAAATTCGTGAGTGCTTGTATTAAACTCGTGAGCATTTATTTCAAATACGTAAACACTGGGTTCAATCAAGTAAACATTTTTTTCAAAGTCTTTATTGTCAAGATCATTTATATAACTGAAACCATTTTCAATTGTCTTAAATATGACATCATTCTTAAGAGGCATAACTGCATTTTGCGAATCACTAAGATTGGACGCTTCAATGAGCTTTAATTTTTGTTTATTGCAAGCGTAAATAGTGTTATCTTTATTAATGTTAAATGAAAAGTCGTTTTTCCAACTAATGTTTGGAGGAATAGCGTTTATTTCATCTTTATTAAAGCCTAATCTTTTATTTTTTTGAATGTAAAGTCCTTTCTTGTGATTATTTGCAGGAATTCTTTTGCGCTCGTGTTCAACAACTTTTTTAACTCTTGGATAATCTCGTGGTGTCCAAACAATTGCCATATCTATATGTTTTTCGTCTATAATACTATAAGGAGTACCTTTTGAACTTAAGCATATTTCACCGTCTTTAAAAAAGTTTATACTGTTTTTGTATGAATGTCGAATGCTTGGAATACTACTAAGTCTTCTTATGCTTTTCTTCTTCTTCTGTTTAATTACTTCTTTACATTGAACCACTTTCCAATTAGAGTTATCCACCCGAATATTAATTAAAAAAAATCTTGATTCTTTGAAACAAAAAAAAGAAATGCCAACAAATGCAAAAATTACAATAATAACGATTTCGCTGACAAAGCAACTGGGTTGCCAACATTGTTCTATCAACCACCATATAGTAAAACATAAAAAGGCAATCAAACAAACTAGCAGTAACGCAAGATGAAAATATACAGTTTTAGATGTGTTTTGAGGTAAATTCCACTGCAATGAGACAAATTCAAATTTATTGTTGATTTCACTATTGTTAATTACACTTGGTTGCAAGTATCAATATACTTGCAAATTTATACTTTATAAATTTAATATTAAAATATGAGTTTGCAAATATATTGATACTTGCCAACAGGACTAATTATAAATGTTTTTATTTAAACAAATTCAGAATTCAGTTCCAGTAACTTTTTTAAGCAAAAGTTTACTTACCTTGCGAAGATTTTTATATCCATTCCGTACAAGTTTACTTTTTGCTAAGCATATTTCACACACACCATATTTGTAAGTTTTTAACCAATCTCTAAAACAACTTCCATGCGCAAACTTTGGTCTGTTTTCGCATGTGCAAACAGTATAAATAGGCTCTTTAAGTTTGCTATACGTTTTCAAACAGTACTTACATTGAGGAGGGGTTAGAAGCTCCATTTTAAACAAGATATTATAGCTTTATCTAAATAACATTTAAAGCTACATATGATATGGTTAAGAAGCAATAAGATTTTTTTAAAGATAAGTATGCAGAAATGACTAAATATAAATAAATAATGATAAATTTTTATATTAAAAAGATTTGTTATTATTTTTGCTGTTGTTGTTTTTGTTTTTGTTATTGTTGTTATTATTGTTGTTGTTGTTGCTGCTGTTACTGTTATTATTATTATTTTTGATTTTACTATGATGTGTAAGTATTATTATTATTATGTGTTAATTTTAAGTTTGAACTAAAAAAAAAAGATTACTAGTTACACTTGCACTGTTGTTGAGGTAACGACCTTTTAAACACTTCCATCGTCAGATATTTATGTGTTTACACTGTAAAAGATTTAGTATCTCAGAACTGAATTCAAGACATAAAGTTCTTAATTTGCTATAATATTAATTTAGCGTCATACACCAACGCATAAAAAAATTAATGAATTTCGTACTGTTTTTTATTTTACTTAGCAACATACACAATACTAATAAAAGATCCTATTATAAATTGCTTTAGATCATAAAGGTTATAAATACATAATGTTTGAGAAATGTTCTCTTAAATAAAAACAAATTGTATATTGTAATAAATGACAATAATAATTTTAAAAATATAAGATTATTAATTATAGTAATAATTATATTATTACCCGTGCTTATATTTATTCAACTAAAGCTTGTATTTATTTAACAAAATGTTCAAATAAATAGCGCCGATGCCGATGCATCGGAATAGACCTGTACCAATCAGAATCGGCTAAAAATAAGCGTTGGACCTTTAATATTTAGTACTCAAAAGTATGCCGGTTAATAAATATCTGAAAAGTATCCTGAAGCCTGTCTTTATTTTGCGTTTTATCAATCTTGAATTAACTTTTTTTGATTTTCCATTTAATCCATTTATTGTTTATCTTTATACAATATGTAAAAAATTGTAAAATAATAAAAATGAGTATATCAATAAAAATAAAAACTAAAAATTCGATACCCACATATAAAAAAATAAATAAATAAATAAATAAATAAAAATGAGTATATCAATAAAAATAAAAACTAAAAATTCGATACCCACATATAAAAAAATAAAAAAATAAATAAATAAATAAAAATGAGTATATCAATAAAAATAAAAACTAAAAATTCGATACCCACATATAAAAAAATAAAAAAATAAATAAATAAATAAAAATGAGTATATCAATAAAAATAAAAACTAATAATTTGATACCCACATATAAAAAAATAAAAATATTTAGAGTACATCAATAAAAATCAAAAACAAAAAATGCGGATGAGAAAGAGATGGGATCCTAGTTTAGAGCCCTAAGGGACTCCACAAGTTAAATCTAACAAATTGGAAAATACAGTTGGACTATCTATTAACGAACTGTTTAAGGTTGCTTAAATAACTTAGTATTAAAGAATTTTTTATAGAATTTTGGGATCAATTTTATCAAAAGTTTTTAAGTCAATGAACTGGGATTTCTCAAAAAGTTCAGCAATACTGCCGGTAATCTGGAGTGTTCCGTGAATTACTTTTTTTAAAGCCATCTTATTTTGATATAGTTAATTGTTTGAAGATAAATGATTGTAAATTACCTTATATAAAATTCTCTTTACAACTTTAGATAAAACGGGTTATACAGAGGTTAGGCGATAATTAGAAAAATTGGTTTCATCACCTCCTTTAAATATCTGTAAAACTCTGGCTAACTTAACATTATTAGGAAAAAATCCCCGTTTTATTGAACAATATAAAACTTTAAAAAGAACATTTTTAATTACATCATAAGAACCGCTAATTACGTTACAATTAATATTATCATGACCAACTGATTTATTAAGTTTAGGCATTTTAAAAAAAAGTTTAAACTCATCAAAGGATAATTCAAAGGTATTTAAGTACAAAGTAATTGGAATAATCATATTTTGTTTGTCAAGATTTTTTGGGCCATTCAAGGATCAACTCATATAAATAATTTATTTAATTAATCAGCTATTAAACCTTGATCATAGGAAGTTTCATTGTTAATTTTAAAAGCTTTAGGCAATTCACTTGTTTTAGCATTCTGCGTGCCCGTGAGTTCTCTTATAATTTTGCACGTACATTTTGAATTAAGCTTATTTCGTTCCAGCAAATTAGAAGAGTACAACTTTTGTTTTGTTTTTTCTTTTGTCTTTCAAATTTCTTTGCGAAGGTTTTATAAGCAAACTTATTTTGTTCAGATTATGTTTTTAAGTATATGATTTACAATTTTTGTTTAATTCTAGAAGATTTTCTTAGACCTTTTGTGATCCATGGTGACATTAAATTATTATTTTTTCTAATTACTGTATTTTTGGAGAATTTGCGTCATATATTTCATAAAACGTTTTAAAAAATGTATTATAAACTAAATTGGCGTCATCACATGCATTAAATTGATTTCAATGATGAATACATAATTGGTCTTTAAATGATTCTAAATTAGCAGCATTAAAAAATGGTTTTTAAAACTTTTTTTTTGTTGAGATATTATAAATACGGTTATATTAATAAAGAAAAAAAAACGGTCAGTCATGTCAGTTTTGTTAATACCTTTTTTAGGAGATTTATTGAAAATATCGGTTGTTATCAAGGAGGTTTATTAAACCTTATAACATCAACGAATAAAGTTGCTGACAGTGGAGTTATTCTTGTTAATTATAGGAAAAACACCGTGTTTAAAAAACATTATAAAAATTTTTAACGGGGTGTGTGTGTGTGGGGGGGGGGGGTATTCCAACCCCCTAATGCTGTCATATAAGCATTTGAGTTGGCACATTAAGCAAGTTTTGAACTAAAATTGGCAAATTGCAAATATTGAGGACTTTTTTTTTGTTGTCTCTAGTTGGCAAAAAAAATACTGCACCCCCCATGGTAGATCTCTTTGGGAAGACCCTCTTTGCTACATACTAAAGTAGGGCTTTTGAAAGTCGCACTTGCGAAACGAGCTCTTAAGCTACACGACGTTTTTGATGTCTATAAAGAGAGTTTGTTGGCCAAACGGATATATTTGTAAAAAATAAAATTTTTATATACAAAAATGATTATAACAAAATTTTATTTTCAGTATTTTAACTTACTAACATTTTAAGGTTTTATGTTTTGAAAAAATGATAAAAAACCAAACTTCTTTCGAAACGAAACTATTTTGGACCGCAACTTGCAAAACAGTTCTTAACGGAACTGTTTTGCAAGTTGCGGTCCAAAATAGTTTCGTTTCGAAAGAAGTTTGGTTTTTTATCATTTTTTCAAAACATAAAACCTTAAAATGTTAGTAAGTTAAAATACTGAAAATAAAATTTTGTTATAATCATTTTTGTATATAAAAATTTTATTTTTTACAAATATATCCGTTTGGCCAACAAACTCTTTTTATAGACATCAAAAACGTCGTGTAGCTTAAGAGCTCGTTTCGCAAGTGCGACTTTCAAAAGCCCTACTTTAGTATGTAGCAAAGAGGGTCTTCCCAAAGAGATCTACCATGGGGGGTGCAGTATTTTTTTTGCCAACTAGAGACAACAAAAAAAAAGTCCTCAATATTTGCAATTTGCCAATTTTAGTTCAAAACTTGCTTAATGTGCCAACTCAAATGCTTATATGACAGCATTAGGGGGTTGGAATACCCCCCCCCCCCCACACACCCCGTTAAAAATTTTTATAATGTTTTTTAAACACGGTGTTTTTCCTATAATTAACAAGAATAACTCCACTGTCAGCAACTTTATTCGTTGATGTTATAAGGTTTAATAAACCTCCTTGATAACAACCGATATTTTCAATAAATCTCCTAAAAAAGGTATTAACAAAACTGACATGACTGACCGTTTTTTTTTCTTTATTAATATAACCGTATTTATAATATCTCAACAAAAAAAAACTTACGAAACACGACATAAAAAATGATTTTAGTTACATTTTATGAATCAAATACGTATAATTGACTAAGTAACTAAAATACTTGTTTTATTTTTGAGGTGTTCTGTTATAAGAGCTTTTGCTTTTTTTTACCTTAATAACAACAAGTAAATCAAAAAAAAATTCAAAGACCTCTTTTTCAAAGATTTTTTCTAAGGGTGGGAAGGTGGTAAGCGCACTTGTTCCCCTTTGTATTGTTGGCCCTGAAAATATTTTTAATATGCAACATCCCAACGTTGTTGGGGCTATACAACTGCTGAAAGTTTTAAATCTCTATCTATTATGGAGGTTAGTGAAAAATTATTAGCAAAATTATGTAGCAAAAAAGTGGGCCCGAACAATACGACCTTTCCCAGGGTCTTCGCCCCTGAAAACAACTGTAATATATGAGCTCATAAGGACTATACAAAACGGTGAAAGTTTTAGAGCTGTAGCTAGTCTGAAAGGTAAGATAAAATAATTGCAAGATTCAGTAAGAACTGACAACGGCCAAACAACACGTGAAGTTAAATTGAACTTAGTAATGGACCAAATATTTTACTGGATTTTTATCTATAAGAGTATAATTATACTCTTACTTTTTTTTATTATTTATATAAATAGTAAATTTCCTATTTATATAAATAGTAAATTTCCATTTCTGCGAAGCCAAAAGCAACAAGCAACTAAAAGTCGGTACATGATATATATAAATATAAACACTGGCGTAGCAACAGGGAACAATATATATATATATATATATATATATATATATATATATATATATATATATATATATATATATATATATATATATATATATATATATATATATATATATATATATATATATATATATATATATATATTATATTGTATGATATTTTGTATTTGCAATAAAATACAAAAAACTCTTGTACGTATAAGAGTGCTCAATAATAAATAAATAGGATTTATTTATATTATTTAATAGAGCATTATATTAATTTATAAAAATAAAGAAAACAACTTTTTATGGTACTAATAGTTTCATGCCTAAAGGCAATCATCAGCCATGTAATACAAAACAAGAAACAAAAAAACCCGTCAAAATATAAAGTTACAATGGAGTGTGCTCCGTCGTCAAAACAGAACAAAAACAAAAAACAATCTTTCTATCTCTATACAATGTAACATGAAAGTTGTGAACTTCCTTGATGTAACACTTAACCTCAATAATCAATCTTTTAGACCATTTTGTAAACCAATCAATGAACTAAATTATATACATATTGATTCCAATCACCCTCCTAGCATAATAAAGCAACTTCCTCGTTCTATAGAATTAAGGTTGTCAGCTAATTCATCTAATGACACTAGCTTTTGAAGCTCTGTTCATTTGTATCAGGATGCATTAAAAAAGTCTGGTTACAAATTTAAACTTAATTATATTCCGAAACTCATTCAACCTCTACCAAAAAACCGTGAGCGCAATATTATCTGGTTTAACCCCCCATA